AATTTGATGAAACAAAACAAAAAAAGAATGAAAAATATAAAAAAACAACAGTCAAAGCCTATTTTAGAAACATTACATTATACTTGCAACTTGAAACTATTTTTCTTTTTCTGAAAGGTTTCGGTTTTTTAATATTCAAATTTTGGATCACAAGTATATAATACACAATCAATAAATAAGAACTCGAGAAAATTGGACTTCAGGCTTTAAGTTTATTTTCGTTAATATATAATTAAGGCACGTGTGCTACTAGTCATGATAAGTTTCTTCAACAATTATTACATAACTAATGAATCAAAATTTTCAGATTTTTAAGTTAGCAAGAAATTTAAATACCTAAGATTTGAAGTTTTTTTTTGTTGCATCCAAAAATTCACTATGCTGATTAATCTGGTGTAAAGTTCATTGAATAGTATTCATATTTAATAGCTAAATTTATCATGAATAAAATGAAGTTGAATAAAACATTGTATAATGATAAATATTAACGAATAATAATGTTCTTATAATCATCGACTAAATTTGCATGGATAAAATGGAATTAGTAAATGTAATGTAAATGATAAATCCAAATACACTGAAATCTCTTTAAATGCTCTCTCTAAATGCATTCAAATTTTAATCTAAATATATACTTGACCCCTACAAATGCACTTTTTCTTATTGTTTCTAAATGCGTGTTGTTTAAGTTTGGATTTTATAGAATGCATTTAGAGAGGTCTGACTGTAACTTGAATACATCGATTAATAAAACTTTTTCATGCCACAAAACTAAATTAAATGAAGTAAAATACTGTATAATTAAATGAAACATTATAATAGTAATATTGTGATAATTTTTCTTACTTTGTATTTGTCTAATTTATTAAGTTGTCACATACCTTTCATATATGTATTGTTATAGCCATGTTAATCTTCTTAGTGGTTTAACCTATGTGAATTTCTCTAGTTGATATTTGAAGCGTATACGCTCTCGCATAAACTTGATAGAATGAGTTGCTTGTGAGAAAACATGTGATTCAGAGTTAGAACATAGATGCTATATTCTTAGCATAGACATCATAAGAAATAAGAATGCATTTAAAGGGTTGCTCTGACCTTTAACTCAGGAAGGAAGAATGCTCTCTAAAATCATCTCTAAATAAAGAATACATAAACCTATATTCTTTTATATAATAAATGCCTACTAATCATGTAAAATCTGAATTCCTTAATTTGTCATCATGCACTGCATCTCTCTTATGTTAACCATCGGAGTTAAACTCAGCATGATTGTTGGAAGCTCTCCCATTTGATGGTGACAATATCAAAAACCTAAATAAAATACCTTAAATACTAATGCAACAGAAATAAATTAATACGATAAGCATAAATAAGAGAAATATATAATAGTAAAAGTTATGAACTTGAATAGCATACTTTAAATACATCGATTAATAAATGTTATTGACTAAATGTGAATGAATGGAATTAAAATTCATGAACATAAATAACTTCTTTTATCAATCAATCTAAATTGACACAAATAAATAAAATAGAATTAAAAGAAAAAGATTGAGTAATTATAATAGTCATGAACTTAAATAGCATACTTTAAATATACTGGTTAATAAATGTTCCTTATACTTATCAACTAAAAGTGAATAACATGAAATTAAATAGGAAAAATGTATAAAGTAAAAATTCATAAATTCGAATAACTTCCCTTAAATACATCAATTAATAAATCTAAATCTGCATGAATAAATAAGGTAGAATTAAGTAAAAGGAGTTGGGTAATGTTAAATATCAAAGAATTTGAATGGCATACCTTATCTCGATTAATAAATGTTCTTTATTGTAATAATTACAAACTAAATTAACATGACATCCATGAACTTAGATACTTTATACTTCTCATTTTAACCAAATTTCTAAACTATTTCAATGACTAATTTGATGTATTAGATTAGAATTCAAATTTATGATTTATTTTTATACCAAATTTCACAAGAAAAGTAGATTCCATGCAAAAAAATCAGATAAATCATAGGTGACTTATAGCCAACCCTTCATAAGTGTATGCTCTATAAGCGCACCTTGTCACAACTTCTCCTCTATAAGTGCATATTATTTGATCAGTACAATAAAAAATGATCCGAAAATTTTATTAAAGTTTGAACTTACATCTTTTTTTCTCTATAAGTGTACATTTCTATAAGTGCGCATTTCTCCGATATATATTTATGGAGGGTTGACAGTATGTAGTTTCAATCTCTAAGTAAAAATGTTAGCACAAAATTTCAATAAGGTTAGTTGCACACACGAGATCAGTCTACACTCAGTCAAGAGAAATGTTCCAAAATTATTCAATCTTCATTTTGCAATACTCAATTATATACTGCCAAATAGATCTTAAGTAAGGCTCTACCAGCCGCAGAACAAATCAGCAAAAATTATAATAACAAGTATGAATTCCCAAGGATTATAAGAAAAACTAGTCTCTGTATTATCATGAGACTAAATTTTTTTTGGCTGGTAAAATCTATCTGTGAAATGAAATAGTTGGTTGAAAATTGAAATTCATTTAGATAACATTGACCCAAAAATATCTGAAGATCAGGATTTACTTAATATATGGACATTCATAAAAAAAACATTCTTAAGAAATACAATTAGAAATGTTATGGTTGGCCCTTCATTTAAATTCATAATGGAATACCGAAATATAGACAGATAAAACCTCTTTGCATGATGGCAAGACAAAACTAAAACTCTATCTTTTGTAATGTTGGCCTTTTCATTATCCACAAGAAGTTTAATTCTTCATCAAAAGTTTTCATTTTCTGTTAAGAGTTTTGTCTTTCATCAAGGTTTTATCACGATGAATATTTATAGGTTGATCAAGTAGGTTCGATTCTATCACATTTTAAGAAATTTGTGGCCATGCAATGAATTGATAATCGAGTTTCATCTTTCGTCAATGCTGAACCTTGGGGTTTTGTCCAACAACTATATATGAAGGACCCAATCATAAAACTTAATCGAAAATATAACCAGCATTTTCAACTATTCACATGAGCCATTATCGAGTCTTACACTAATAAAACTGAGCATACATCTAAATAAGTTTTTATTTATTTAAAATTACTATGAAACATTTGAACATTATGAAAAAATAAACATGACCTCTAGAATTAATATAAAGAAACATTTAGGACGATATTAATGAATAGCAACTTTAAAAAAACATAATATAAAAACAACTTTGAACCGATTAACGAGAAGACTTGCAAACTTTAATCCCTATTTTAAAGTAAATTAACGAAGTACATTAATTAATGATAAACTCTTACAAAAGCTTTAATTATGATTTGAACTGTATTAACAATGATCTTTGTAATTATCTAGGCTAAAATAAAAGAAGGATTTGGAGGGCTCCCATTTTTTGTGAGCTTGGATTCCTATCAAATTTATTAATGAAGAATTATTTGACATGAAATAAACTTTATGCAAATGTGGATTTAAATGTAACAAATGGCCTTCATACTCACCGAAATCTACACAAAATAATTTTTTATAGATTTTAATTCTTGCATTAAAAGTTGATATTAATTAATGATAAACTTCTTAAGCTTGCGACTCAAAATATATTAACGAAATATATTATATTTACCAAGAATAATACGAAAGAATGTTTTAGAAATCATTATTTATCTATTAATAGAATAGAAGCATTAATTCTTGCTTTCAACACTGTTTATAGTATCATGAGTCTTATTTAAGATTTAATAGCTCTATTTTTGATTGCTTCATTCATGATTTTATTGGTGGAAATTAAATTCCAAAATCTACTTAAATTTTGTTTCTACAACATATATAAGAACAGATTTTTGTGAGAAAAGTGAATATATAAATTATAATAAAGTAATTATTACTTTCCTTAATTCTGGATCATTGCATTTATTGATAATTGAAAATTGCTCAATTTAGTCATTATATCTGACGGAATTAAACTGTATGTAAATTGCTTTCCCACCTCGTTGATTATTAAATCTTTTAGATTACGTGTTGGTCGACTAACAAATTGCTAAAAGTTAGCAAAAAAAAAAAAACATAACACTGCTAAACTTAGCTTTTAATCTATTATAATTAATGCTTCTTAATCAGTATATTAACAGTAGATTAAAACTAATTAAGACTAATTGAAACTCTTAAATTCGGATTCGATCTCAAACCAAATTTAATATCTAAACTTTATATTAACTCAGGACTGATATTTGGATGTAGACCTATATCAGATTATTACATTATACAGAATTACTTAAAAAACAAATAAAATAAGGCATTAAAAAAAAAAACAAAAGTTTGAACAATTTCTGCAGGTCCCGGCGTCAAAGTTATATATTTTTTATTAATCTAAATCTTATTTGAACAGGTTTGGGCATTATGACCCTTTCTATAGCAAACATTACATTTTTTTTGTATATTTTCATAGTTTTGAAAATCAATTGGGTGCGTAGGCGATGAAATCAACACCACGGGATTACTTGGTCCTACCAAAAAGTGAATTATGTACGTAAATAATCAGATTTCTGATACGATTCTTGGTAAAATGTTCGTTATTGGAATATAAAAAAATTAACTAATACCAGATTCTTCTGAGTTCGATATTTCTCGAATATATTCATGACTTGTAGATGTGGCCAATGATTCTTCATTATTGCTATCTTCATGACCTAAATTAATAAATATTTTATTAATAAGTAGGCATATTAAATACAGAGTCATTCTCTATATTTCTGTATATCTTTATTACTTACATTCACTATACAATCATATCGGCACATTGGTTAGAAGCGTACATTAATATACGTAATGGTAATTAAATGCATAAAAGCTAATCTCGATATTTTTTTTTTGAATTTATAACAGAATTTCATATAACAAATTAGCAACTATAATGCACATGATGATCATATGACATTCTTAATTTGTTCTTAGCATTTTAAATGCTTAAAACCTCTTAACATTAACATTAAAAATCTCAAACTAATTATGAAAGTAACTATACAATTACCTTTCAATTTCGTTATTTGTTTTGTTTTCATTAGCTTTTATTTTTTTTTTTTCTTCACAGGTTTTACTATTATGACCCCTTTTTTTGCATAACTTGCACTTGTAACTCATTTTTGTATTAAATTTCTCAAGAGCATTTACAATTCTTTTTGATTTAGGACGACCCTTTGGTCTTCTCTCAATAGGATTTTGAATACCCATTATGCAACCATTATTGTTAATATTATAGTTAAATTCACTAAACTTATTAATGATTCTCTGTGATGTTCTTTTTTGGATTGATGTAAAAAACTCAAGTAGTTCATGATAAATATCTTCATTGTTATTCTCAATTGCATTGATCATTACTTTTCTTCCTAATCCTCAAAGTTCACCAAACTTGTGTTTTTTCGAAATAGTTTTAGATATTTCATTAGGCGATTGACTTGAAACACTATTTACAAATTCTTCAACTCTATTAACATCAAATCCGTTATGCAAAAATTGTGTTGATAAAAGATGCACTTTTGATGTTGATTTCAATACATTCGAAGAAATGGGTATGAATTCATTATTTGTTATATCGACTTCTTGTAACATGTCTTTGTACCAGTGTCTATTAACTAAATCGATATGAAATCTTGCGGTAGGAGTTAGGGTCATAATATGGTAAAAATGGCAGCACAGATATCCATGAGATTTTTCAAGCATACATGTGCAAAGGAAAGTTCCATCATTCAAAAGATATACAAAATGAGAAGTGTCAGAATTTAATAAGTACATAACTTCCCAGAATTCAAGAATTGTTGAAAAATC